ACATAACGCACACACCTACCATATTCGGTATTTTGATGATTTTTCGGCGGATTTGCCTGAAAATTGGTATTTGTAGTTCGTAATATGTTCTAGCTCCGGTGGCGAAAGTTGTATGTATAGGTCCACGATTTGTATAGTCCCCATATAACGGTACCTTCCGATTCTGATGATTGTTGTCCCTTTTTTTCAGGGATTGTACAAAAATTGGTATTTGTACTATATAGCTCCTGTGGGGAACATATTTACGTTTCCATGTTTTCATATAGCGCACATATAAACGGTCTTAATGGTATTTGTAGTTTAAAGTGGAACACGTTTGAATTCAGATACTTTTTATACAAAGGTGGATGTTTTTAAAGTTTGGCCCGGCCAAACTTATTTTTTAATTGTTTAACACAATTATATTTCACCTTTTTTCTTTCAATTTGGCATTTAAAACTCGCAATACATATTAACCGCTGTGGAAGGAATCGAATTTACCGAATTTTTTGCCAATCGATTTCATTTGCAAAAATGAAAGCGGACCCAATTTTCAGATTTTCTTTACCTCATGGTGGAGGACCGAACTTTCACAAGTTCGGTGCGGCCGACTTTAACGTGGATTTTACTTATTTTCTTTTAAGTTGCTATTCATACGATCATTGTTGGAATCCGCTTATACTTTTCTAATATATTTGTTACAAATTTAATTATAATTGATTAATATATTTTATTATTAAAGAAGGAAAAAAATACATTTATTGGAATTATATGAAAAATAATTGGGTTTTTATAACTTTTTACATCAATGGCCAAGAAAATGAATGACGAATTTTGTTATTCGATTTTTAACAAATTTTGCTATGCCTCTCATATATATTTGTACAATATATTTGTTTCGGATATAATATTTAAGTTCTCTCATATTCACTCGGTATAATAATATTGATCAAAAATAGCAAAAAAAAAAACAGTAAAACAGCAGCTAATTCGGCCGGGCCAATCTTTTTATACGCTCCACCATTTGGAAGAATCTGTGAAATTTCAAAAATTTTCCATGGGAAAATGTGGCTAAAATCATCAAAATACCGAATATCGGTGGTACCGTTAAATGGGGGATATACGATATCCTGGACCTATATAGATAATTCTCTTCCGAGGCATAAAATACCCACTAGGGACTCCTTGTTTAGAATTTCAGAAAATTCCATTGAAAAAATGAGACTAAAATCATCAAAATACCGAATACCGGGGGGTACCGTTATATGGGGGCTATACGATATCATGGACCGATATGGATAATTCTCTTCCAGGGATAAAGTACTCAAAAGGAATCCTTGTGTACATTTTCAGACAATTCCATTGAAAAATGTGGCTAAATCATCAAAAATGCCGAATATCGGGAGGTGCCATTATATGGGGGATATACTATATAGTGGACCTATAGACAATTCTTTTTACCATTGGGAAATGTGGCTAAAATCATTAAAATACCGAATATCAGGGTACCATTATATGGGGGCTATACGATATCGTGGACCGATATAGGCCATCTTCGAACTTGACCTGCCTGCAGAAAAAAAAGACAGATATATGCAAAATTTTAGCTTCCTATCATTATCGTTTGACTGTAGCGTGATTACATCAGACGGACGGACGGACGTGTTAGAATTTTACGCTGATCAAGAATAATATACTTTGTTGGGTCTAAACTTATTATTCGATGAGTTACAAACGGAATGACGAACTTAATGTAGCCACAATACTATGTTGGTGGAGGGTATAAAATCCAATATCTTACTGACATCTATTGTAGAAAATACACAACTTATTTTTTACATTACATAAACTAGCAAATACAGCAACCACCATGTACGGTACAACCATAGGCACGAATAATATTTAAATTTGATTTGTATTTGTTTATGTAGATGGCGCTAAACAAGTACTTCATATCATAGCAACGGGGAATTCCGAGAGTAGCGTTTTTTTTACCCTCCACCATAGTATGGAGTGTATATTAAGTTTGTCATTCCATTTGTAACACCTCGAAATATACATTTTGGACCCCACAAACTATATGTATTCTTGATCAGCATAAAATTCTATGTCGATTTAGCGATGTCTGTCCGTCTATACGTCTGTGGGAATCACTTTAGCTTCCGAACAAATGCAGGACTTTTGGTATTTAAACGGACCATGCAGGTCCACGTTTTGGTATAGCCCTCATATAATTGTACCTGCTATTTTCGGTATTTTGGTGACTTAAGCGACATTATTCACCGGAATTGTTTCAATTTGGTATTCAAAATTCGTAACGGATACTACAGCCTACAGCCCTATAGTCGGTACTTTGATGATTTTTTTTTCTGAGTATTCACCGAATTATTTCATATTTCGTATTTAAACTTTGTAATGGGACAGAAAAGTGACTTTGCAGGTCCACGACTTCGTATAGACCCCAAAATTACTCTAACTCCTTATATTCTGTATTTTTAAGAGTTTAACCGAATTTTTAATGGATTTCATTTAATTATTATTATTATTATTATTATTATTATTATTATTATTATTATTATTATTATTATTATTATTATTATTATATTATTATTATTATATATTATTATTATTATTATTATCTCTTTTTTTAAATGTCTTAATTCGTTCCATTTGTACGAATGCGTTCAAAGTTGGGCTTTTAAACTTATTAGTTATTTTCTTAAGTTTTGGGGGTAATTCAACGAAGCATATGTAATACACACTTCTATGAACAGCCAGGTTATTGTCTATTTAAAGATTTTTGTATCATTAAATTACACTATTTTCATTTGTTTTTGAACGATCTAAAGTCTACACATTTAAACATCTACTGTTTAGGAGGCCCTATAGGCCCCCCAACTACGCCGACGCATGGAGGGTGTATAAAACACTGTCATTCCGTATGTAACTCCCAGAAAAGAAACATTTTAGAGCCCATAAAATCTAAATATTCTTGATCAGCATAAAATTTTATGTCCAAAAATGTTTGGTTTTAAAAATATGCTGTAGTGGTCCACATTTTAGTACAGACCCCATATAACTGTACCTAACGACTTTCTGTATTTTGCCGATTTTAGCCATTAAAAATGAAAATATTAAAAATTTATAAAAATCTGTTATAAAGATGGTAGAGATCGGATCATTCCATCTGGTACCTCCCCCACAAAGGGTTAAAATTTTGAACAACAAAAACGATTATAAAATCCGAAATAAACATGTGTTTCCCTTCTTCAAGATGTGGTGTGAAGATGGAATATATCGGCGCACTCCTTCTGATACCTCCCCCACAGAGGGTTAAATTTTGAATATTCATGAAGCTCATAAAACACGAAACTAACATCCGATTACATTCAGACTTGGCACATCTCAATGTTTTTCATCAACACGAGATTTGTTATAAAGATTGTAGAGATCGCACCATTTCTTTTGGTGCCTCCCCACATAGACTTCGAGATTTTGAAAAACAATACGCTCAAGAAAGCTAAATAAGCATCCAAATCCATTCATCCATCTCCTCAAATTTCACACATACAAACATTTTTGATAACATCAAATCTGTTGTGAAGATCATCTGCCAATCCCTTCTGGTACCTCACCCACAAAGGGTCACAATTTCCAATACTTATATTTTTCTTAACCAGATATCTGATATAGATATGTAATTTATCGGAATTTATGATTTCGCATAAAATTGGATATAAATGTTAGATTTTTTATCTTTATTAGATGAAGTATGAAAACAGAATACTTCGATCCGCTATATCTGTTACCTCACGCAGATTTCCATATTTCCCCAAAAATTGCAAATATCTCATATAAAGTATAGGAAGTAGTCGATGTAGTCAAAATCTGGCACGTTGTAATATTATATGAGTTTTAGGTCAGATACGAATTGGTCAGTATTAGCCAAATGCTTCGGAACCACAGATTTATACCCCCTCAAGGCTGGGGGTATAATCTGTGGGCAAAACCGACTGATACTAGTTGACTTGTTGGAGATGTAATTATTTAAAATGTTGACCCGTTGTGGGAGAGGTGCCAGAAGGATTGGGTCAGATTTCACATAGATCTTGTGTTGGTATAAATATTGAGATGTGCGAATTTTGAAGAGAATCGGATGCTTATTTCGTATTTATAAGAGTTATAATAATTATTCCCAATTGGGGTCTTGGTGTGGGGGGTACATGATGGAGTGGGTTGATATTGTTCTTTTTCGCACATGACATAGCACTTATACAAATATTGGAAAATTTGAACAAAATTGATCCTTTCTTGTTCTATACGGAAAATTGTGAACTTTTGTGATGGAGATACTAAATGGAGTGGACCTATATTGTTCATCACCGAACTTGATCTATGTTTGGCAATAATATTAAGATGTTCCACGTTTGGATCAAACCGGATTCTCCCTTCGAATGATATCGTGCGCACCCGCCAGCCAGACAGTGGGACACCCCTAGATCTACTCCTAATGACCTGAATCGGATTTGGTCCACAGGGAAGGTCTAAAACAGTTATTTCGATTAGGCACGTTTCGGCCATATCAAATGATATTACCCGCTGTAGCCATATGACTGAGGGTAAAGAAGGGAAATAACAGCTTGGAACAGGTCAGTTCGGACATATATTCTAATGTCTTCGTTTCACCACAGTGAAGGGGCTACAGTTCGCTCTGTCTGTGCAAATCACTGTAGCTTCCAAACGGAATGAAATAAATGTTATATTTTTAATTTATGCAAAATTTATTTTTCGTCAAATGACAACCTATTCAAATTTTCAAAAAAAAAAAAAGAAAATCTAAAATACAATAGTAACATTCTTCAGCTGGGAAGTTCTCCTTCTCTTTAAAAGTTACTGACTTTTTGGCCCGTAAAAAAACAATATCGATTACAATACTTATTTATTAAAAAAATGTTCATTATCAAAGTTTATGTAGTCTTATATAATCTCATGAAACTAAAACTAAACAATACGGTTTATGCCGTATTATATATATCTTCAATTCCATATTCTTTCACCAAGCTAATATCCTTAACACATGCATCCACAGAGGTGACAACACACAGCGGCCGCTTTCCACTGTAGTACGGGCTATGATCACGGACATAGCTTATTTGGCGTATTTCCAAAAACTCCATCAATTCGTTCAGACAGGACACTGCCACGGATTGCCCTCATTGATACTTTTCGTAGTCGCGGAAAGGTGGCATTGGTGTCGGGCAAAAAAGAAAGGCGATTATTGTCTATGAGTAACTCACCAACATCGGTTAGACTGTCCAGAACTTCGGGCGGTATGACTTCCAAAAGATTATTTCCCAAATGTAATTTATCCAGTCGTCGCATTGGGGCAAACATTCGGACATCCAATGTGGTAAGTTCATTGTTGCCCAACGAAAGATACTGGATGAATGGTAGAGAGGCGAAGGCAAACGGATGCAAACGTTTGATGTTATTCGTTTTCAGTATAAGTTTCTTCAAGCGTGGCAATGTCGACGAGCCAAACAAGTCGGCATCCAGATATTCTAGTGAATTTTGTGACAAGTCCAGGGTATCTAAGGCAGTTAACCAGGCAAAGGTATTCGTTGTCAACGCCTTCAAATCGTTCTCATGTAGATAGAGTTTTCTCAACGATAAAAGATATTTAAAAGCGGTCGAATTAAGGGCCGTCAAACGATTACGACTCAAGTCTAAATATTGCAGTTTAATTAAATATTGAAATTGGTTTTCCGCCAGTTCTTTGAGGTCGTTGGAATTTAAATCTAAACACAATAATCGATTGAGACCTGCAAATACGTCGACATCTAGAAGTTCCAAACTATTCGCAGATAAATTTAGAGCTTTTAATTGTGTCATGCTATTGAAAGTGTGCTTTCCAATGTGGCGCAAAGGATTTGATGTTATGTTTAATTCCTCCATTCTTTGCAGACCACTGAATGATTTGACCGTAAGCTGAAAAAAGGCAATATATTTTTTAGTAAAGAGTATGTATGCATATACAGGGTGAGATAAAAAACTGCAACAAAGTCAAACGCCTTAAGTTTTACACTTTTTTAAATTTTATTGAATTAAAGCAAAAACTGTCGGAAATTGTAGAATAAGTTTAGATTTGTTCGTATTGGTCACCTTTGGTAGGAATTATGGCCGCTTGCTTGAGGTGATCGACACTTTGGTATTTTTTATTGCCAACCTTGCTTTCCAAAATACTCCAGACACAATAGTCCAACGGATTGTTATCCGGAGATTTCGGTGGCCATTGTGCACTGGAAATGAAGCGAGGAACCTCATTTTATAACCATTCTTGTGTGGCGCGTGCTGAGTGCGATGGTGCTGGTACGGCGGCCCACACCATCACCATGGCCAGCGCTTGAGTTCTGGTGGCCAACAGAAGGTGCACATTTTCAGCTGACCTCTTTGGCAAGTAAACACGACCATTTTGTTTGTTTACAAACTGCTGGACAATGAATTTTTTTCACTTTCTGAGTCGATTTATGCACGTCCGTCTGTCCATGTGTTCTTGAGAACAAAGCAAGTCGCATTTATTATCCGATTAAAATGAAAATGTCCAAAAAATATTTGTCTGGCCCAAGGACGAACCCTATTGAAATTGGTGACAATCGGATCAGATTTAGATATAGCTTCCATATATCTTCAACCGATTTCGGCTTAATTGTGCACCAAATGGCTAATATAAGTCAAAATAACCTGTATTTTGGTACATACCACCGAATTCAGTCTAGAAGCAAGTAAATCAAATTTGGAGAAAATCGGTTCAGATATAAACCCGATTTGGGGTTTTAAATCCATCAGATGCGAAATATGCACTCCAGGAGAATGATATTTGGTACCGGACATCAGTCAAATTTTATCGAGATCGGTTCAGATTAGGATATAGCTCCCATATATATATATCTTTATTCGATATCAAGTTTATTGTGCACCAAATGGCTAATATCAGCCCAAATGGACAGAATTTTGGCAATTACGACTGAATTCATCCTATAATCCAGTACTTCAAATGTGGTGTAAATCGGTTCAGACGTATACATTCGACAACAATGATATTTTGTACCAGTTATCAGATGAAGCCCAGAAATACATTTGCCAAATTTTATCAAGATTTGTTGAAATTTGGAAAAAGCTCCCATATATATGTCTTCAACCGATTTCAAGTTAATTGTGTACCAAATGGCCAATATCAGTCCAAAAATCCTAAATTTGGTACATCCGACCGAATACAGTACATTAAATTGGGAAAAAATCGGTTCAGATATAGCTCTGGCTCACATATATAGGTTTCATCCGATTTGATGCTAAACATGCGTAATACACACTCCAAAACAATGACATTTGATACCGGACATCAGATACAGATCGAAAATAATTCTAGCAAATTTTATCGAGATCAGTCGAGATTCAGTCTAAAGCAAGTACATCAATTTTTGTGAAAATCAGTTCAGATATAGCTATAGCTCCTATACATATGTTTCACCCGATTTGGCATTTAAGTCCCTCACATTCGTAATATGCATTCGACACAATGATATTTGGTACCAGATTTCTTATAAAGATCGGTAATACCTTTGCCAAATTTTATCGAGATCGGTTCAGAGCTGGATATAGCTCCCATATATATCTTCAACAGATTTCGGGTTTATTGTGTATCAAATGGCCAATATCTGTCAAAAAATCCTGAATTTTGGTATATTCGACCGAATTCAGTCTAGAAGCAAGTACGTCGAATTCGAAGGAAATCGGTCCAGGTATAGCTATAGCTCCCATATATATATGTTTCATCCGATTTGATGTTTAGTCCCTCACATTCATGATATGCATTCGGCACAATGATATTTGGTACCAGATATCTTATAAAGCTCAAAAAAAACCTTTCCAAAAATTTATCGAGAACTGCAAAGATTTGGATATAGCTCACATATATATATCCTTAATGCTAAAGTCCCTCACATGCGTAATACACACTCCAAAACAATGATATTTGATACCGGACATCAGATACAGATCGAAAATAATTCTAGCAAATTTTATCGAGATCGGTTCAGATTTTCCTATACCTTCGATATAGATCTTCATACGATTTTACGGTTATTGTACACCACATATGTAATATCAGCCCAAATTGGATAGATTTTTTTCATATTCAACCGAATTTTTTCATTTGGTGAAACTCGGTCCGGTATATCTATTGTTCCAATACATAATTTTTAATATTATTTGGTACTAGAGGTACAAAATCCTCCGCAAAATTTTGTTGAAAATCGATTCAGAGTTGGATATAGCTCCCAAATTATGACCTTGATACGCATTCAAATAAAGTTCTCCGATATACGCATGGTGGTGTATATAGCCGGTTCCGCCCGACTTTTGACCTTTCTTTACTGGTTAATATATAAATTGCAGGCATTTAGTTAAGATTTAGACTCTTGCCTCGTCTTATAAACCTATAGTAGAATTTTATGACAAATAATTTTGTAGAATATTTTGACTGATCGTAGCAAGTTTAAAGAAAGTTTTTCACCTTTTTTTAAGGACCATAAAGGCAACTTTTTGGCCCTTTTCGAAGACACTATATACATAAAAAGCACAAATTCCGAGAAATCTCAATACGAAAATTTCCGAAACTGTGGAAGAGTGGCGGACTAGTCCCCTATACTTTGGTTAATTTTCGATGTGAACTTTCAAAACGCCGATACACGTGTCTTCATTATTCTTAGCTCTATTTTCATAATCTGCCAGAACTTCCCTTTAATTATTGAAAAATTGAATTTTGTCGCACAGCATAATTTTAAATAAGTATCACTTACCTCTTCAATTTGATTGTCACTTAAAGTCAGCACTTGCAGTTGCGGATAATCATGGAAACTGACGGTTTTCAATTCATTGTTGTCCAAATGCAGACATTTTAATTTTTGAAATACTTTCCAGTCATCTTCCTCGATTTTCGTTAGCGCATTGTGTGAAAAGTTTCCATACTGTAAATACAGTAATCTGCTTTTTAAGTCAAAACTCAACTCCGTCAAGGTATTCCAACTAGCATCGAGATTTTCCAGTTTGTTGTAGGGGGAAAAATGTATGCCGCTGAGCGATTCTATGCCAGTTCCTGATATATTCAAAAACAAAAGATTCTGCATTGCTTTGAAGCCATCATCGTTGAGTTCTAATTCGCCAATTTGGGATAAGTCCAATGTTTCCAAAGCACTAAAATTGCTATTGATGTCTGCCAAAAAATAAATATTCGAAATACACATATTTCCATTGATTTTCAAAATACTTACCATTAATTTGAAATGCTTGTTTGTTTTCGTTGAAAACAATTAAATGCTTCCAGTTTCTTTGTCCGTTTACATCTTTCAATTCTTGTATATCAGTGCAAACTACTTGTCCTTGCTGTTCTTGGGAAGATTGTCCATCCACCGGAGTTGATTCCAAACATTTAGGTTTTATATTGAATGGCACACCGTTCGCCATTCCCATAAACAAAAATATACTCATGAATGAATTTATTAACATTTTGTTTTGATCTGCTGGCGGGGATTTTATGTAGGTTTGTGACTAACAATGTTATTTCCCTGAGTTCAGATTTAAGACTGATTTGTTTAGGAAGAATTGTATTTGCGATGCGAAAAAACAAGTTATCTCTTTTTTGTTTTGTTTGTTTTTGCATCGGTGATGCCAACCTGCCATTTTGTCCGGTAGCACTTTTGATTACTTTCGTAGAAGTGCTTGCCTTTGAAATTGTTTCAACATTAAGCTCATTTTCATCCAATTTATTGACGTATGTCTGTGTATATTTTCTTATCAATTCGCATTGGGTTTTGTTCAGTTTGTCATATTGATCATGGTCTATGAGGAGGTCGCACAGGGAGTCATTTCATTTTTGGAATTAAAGTGAGACGTTTTTTTTATTTTTTTATACCCTTCACCAGCTATGAGGATCCTCGAACGAAAAAGTATAAACAAAGCACACGTAATTTCTCTCTAGATTTTCATTTGCCATTGATTTGGCAGGGCGAGAGAGCCTCATACCACTACAAATGCATATATTGTGAGGCTGGCTGCCCTACTCCACATAGTGGTAAGGGTATTATGTCTTTGTGCATTTGTTTGTTACAGGAGACCCATAGTTACTTTTGAGGAACTCCATAGAATCACTTTCTGAGTCGATTTCTACATGTCAGTCCGTCCGTCCATGTATTTTTGTGAAAAAAAAAATACAGGTCGCATTTATTATCCGATTGAGATGAAATTTTGTAAACAATATTTGTTTAGCCCAAGGACGAACCCTAATCGAATCAGATTTAGATATAGCTCCAATATATTTTCACCCATTTTGGGTTAATTGTGCACCAAATGGATAATGTAAGTCCAAATGACCTGTATTTTGATACATCCCACCGAATTCTGCCTAGAAGCCAGCAAACCAAATTTGGTTCAGAAAATCGGTTCAGATTTGGAGTTTAAGTCCCTCACATTCGTAATATGCATTGGACAACAATGATATTTGGTATTAGATATCTTATAGAGTTCGGAAATACCATTGTAAAATTTTTTCAAGATCGGTTCAGATTGGGATATAGGTCCCACATATATCTTCAACCATTTTCGGGTTAATTGTGCACCAAATGGCCAATTTGTCAAAAAGTCCTGAATTTTGGTATATTAGACTGACTTTAGTCAAAAGCAAGTACGTCGAATTCGGAGGATTCAGATATAGCTATAGCTCCCATATACAGGGTGAGATGAAAAAACTGCAACCAACTTCAAACTGCTGTCATTTCTAAGCCACTCGTCCGACAGTTGGTAAAATTATTCCAGTGATAGCTCATTATATTGTTTACAAGCGTACAAAGCATTTTTGGTGAGAATTTTCCAGAAAAAAGTTATTTGTGATGGAATTCAAGCGTGATAGTGTGATTTCTTTATATTTGGCTGGAAAATCACAAGTGGCTATCGTTAGAGCACTCCAGCATTTAAATGTGAATAAATCTGTTGTGTCTCTACCATCGCTTGTTACCGTGACACTGGTAGCGTACGTAGCCACCAGAACTCAAGCGCCGGTCATGGTAATAGTATAGGCCGCCATAACAGCCGATGGTCGCTCTCCGCTCGTATTAAGCGACCGTGGCATCAGAATAAATGCCTAATATTATCGCGATATTATTCTGGAGGGTGTATTAAAGGGCACGCAAACATTTTGGCCGCAGACCTTGGACTTTCCAACAGGACTCAGCACGCTCCACCCAAGAATGGTTACGAAAAGAGGTTCCTCGCTTCATTTCCAGCGCACAATGGCCACAAAAATCTCCGGATACCAATCCGTTGGACTATTGTGTCTGGAGTATTTTAGAAAGCAAGGTTGGCACCAAAAATACCGAAGTGTCAGTCACCTCAAGCAAGCGCTTCGCCGGGAATGGGCCAAAATACCGCAGAGCAACATTCGGGCAGCGTTTGACGATTTCAAGGGCCGTTTGAAGGCCATAATTCGTGTAAAAGGTGACCAATTCGAATAAATATAAACTTGTTCTAAAATGTTATGATATTTCCGACATTTTTTGCTTTCATTCAATAAAATTAAAAAAGTGTAAAAATTATGGCGTTTGACTTTGTTGAATTTTTTTTTTATCTCACCCTGTAATTTAAACATAGTTTAGTAAGTAAACTGCATCGATCAAATAAAAACAACAATCAATATAGTTTTTGTTTTTTTTTTTTTTGTTATTTTATACATATATATGTATATATATATTTATTTTGTATATATTTCAAAAATTTATAAATATGTTTGGATGAAAACTAACATAATTTGCCTGTTTAGCTTAGCTGTTATGCAATTGGAATATGAGAATTGTTATAAATAGAAAACAATAGATTTCAAAGTGTGTCTGTGTGTAGGTACTTAATATATATATAGTTAAGTACGCATTTGAAGAATTATTAACAGAATTTGATTTACAACTTAAAAATCTAAATACATTCAATGGTCTAACTTATCGATAATTACAAATAAGAATAAATTTTAGTGAGAGAACATTATTGTATCTATGTAATAAGCGAATTTTAAATTATTTGTTTTTAGTTTTTCTTTTACTAAATATTAAAAGTATTTGCATGGTGATATTGAGAGGGCGGGGCAGGAATCGAAGACACAGGCCAACCAAGTTGTACAATGTTAAGATAGTTGTTTGGTTTTATTAGTATTAGTCACATGTGGATGTTTGTAATGAGATCATATAATTGGGACAAGGGAAGCGTTTGTTATACCCTATACAACTCTGTGAATAGGGTATTATTTTTTGCATAATTTTGAAAGGAAAATAATATAAGCGTTGGGTTTACTGAGTCCGCGTGAATGTACACTTCATTGAAAGACAATGGGGTAAACTTTGGGATCATACCAGCAATTGAATCCCTGTTGCTGTATAATTTATCGTTGATGGTATTATAACATTTTTAAAATATTCGCCAGGTTCGTTTAAAAATTATCCACTTTTATAAATAAATTATCCATATTATCGGAAAATATTATCCACATTGTTGAGAAATATTCAATTTTATGAAAAAAAAACTATCCATATTGTAAGATGTACTATCCGATTGTATGAAAATTAAAAAATAAGAACATTAAGAAACAAGTAACAAAGCAGCTAAGTTCGGCCGGGTCGAACTTTTAATACCCTCTACCATTTCCAAAGAAATTGAAAATTTTCAAAAAAAGTTCCGAAAACTACCACTTAAATAAAAACCGTTATATGGGGACAATACGAAGACGTGGACCTGCATACGAAATTTTTTGTCATAAGCTGTAGGCCCATTACGAACATCAGATATAAAATTTGTTACAATTACGGTGAATAATGTCGCAAAAATCATGAAAAAAAGGAGTATCGGGAGAAGGATGGAGGCTATACGAAGATGTGGGCCTGCATTCGAATTTTTTTTCCATAAGTTGTAGTATCTATTAAGATCTCTCAATACGAAATTCGAAACGATTCCGGTAAATAATGTTGCTGAAATCATTAAAATACCGACTATCAAGAGGTATCGTTATATGGGGGCTATACGAAGACGAACTTCAAATACGAAATTTGAAATAATTCCGGTAAATAATGTCGCTAAAATCATGAAAATACCGAATATCGGCTGGTACCGTTATATGGGGGCTATACGAAGATCTGAACCTGCATACACAATTTTTGCTATAGGCTGTAGTACCCATTGGGATCTTCCAGTATGAAATTTGAAACGATTTCGGTGAATAATGTTGCTGAAATCATTAAGATACCGAATATCGGGAGGTATCGTTATATGAAGGCTATACGTAGGCTGTAGTACCCATTACGAACTTCAAATACGAAATTCTAAGTAATTCCGGTAAATAATGTCGCTAAAATCATGAAAATGTCGAATATCGCGAGGTACCGATACGAAAACGTGGACCGACATGCCCCATTTACGAACTTAACCTGTCTACTAGTAAACTATGCATGTATGCAAAATTTTAGCCTTCAATCTCAATTCGTTCGAAAGATAGCGTGATTACAACAGACAGACAGACGGACATCACTAGATCGTCTTAGAATTTTACGCTGATCCAGAATATATATACTTTGTAGGGTCTATTATAAATATTTCGAGGAGTTACAAATGGATTGACAAAGTTAATATATCCTCCATAGAATGGTGGAGGGTATAAAAATTATCCAAGTTGGTAGTTGTCGTAAATTATCCATGGTAGTGGATAACTTATACACGTTAGTGGATAAATTATTTAGATTAGTGTATTAATTTTCCAGGTTTCTGGATCAACTATCAATGTAGGTGGATAAATTATCCTCATTATTATCCACATTGGTGGATACATAATCTACGTTCGTTGATACATTATCCGCATTTGTTTATAAATTACCCATGATGGTGGAAAATGTATACACGTTGCTGGATAAATTACCCACGATGGTGGATTACTTATCCACGATGGTGGATAAATTATCCACGTTGATGGATAAATTACCCACGATACGTTTTTTGATAAATTATGAACATTTTTGTATAAATTATCCACGTTTGCGGAAAAATTATCCAATTTGGTGGATAAATTATCCAATTTGGTGGATAAATTATACACGTTGCTGGATAAATTACCCACGATGGTGGATAAAAAAATATCCACGTTGGTGAATAAGTTGTCCATGTTGGAGAAGAAGTATCCACGTTGGTGGATATATTATTCACGTTGGAGGATACATCATCCACGAACAGTATCCACGTTAGTAGGTAAACTATTCACGTTTGTGGATAAGTCACGTATTTGGATAAATTATGAAAGTCTTTGTATAAATTATACACGTTTGTGGATAAATTTTATTCGTTGGTGGATGTATTTGTCACATTTTTGGATGATTAATCCACGTTTGTGGATACAGTACCCACGGTAATGTTTAATTTATCCATATTGGATAAATATTATCGATATTTGTTTATAAATTCATATTGTCGGATAAATTTTCCACATTCGTATGCATGTAGGTGGATATATTATCCAGGTTGGTGGATAAATTATACAGGTTGGTGGATAAGTTACCCAGGTTGGTAAATAGGGTTTTTTGCGTTAGCAAATACATTATTCGCCTTACTGGATACATTTTCAACATTGGTGGACAAACAATCGACATTGTTGGATAAGTTTATATATAGATTGACAATTTTCCGAATGGTTTGAAAATATATTCCCGATTTATTATACGCATTTTTTACTATCTACATTGGGAAAAAATATATTCGATATTTATAGCAGTTCATTGTGAATGGAAATAAAGATGT